CATTATTGTATGTTCTATTAGATTGTTAACATTTTTTCAATGCAGGTCTTCTTGGATATTGTGGAAAGTGTAAATCTTCTTATGTCTTCCAAAGGTGGGGAAGGTGTTTTTGAATGAGTTGCATGAACAATGTCTTTTTGGTTACTCATAAGCGATTTTGGTGACTATAGGTAGCGTGCTGCGTTGTGATGTAACCGGGAAAATTCTTATGAAATGCTTCCTCTCTGGAATGCCCGACTTGAAGTTGGGCTTGAATGATAAAATTGGCCTTGAGAAAGAGTCACAACTCAAATCCCGTCCTACTAAAAGGTATTCAATGGGTGACAGTTCTGTTCTGTTCTGTTGTTTTGATTCTATCTAATCTTTTTAATCATCAATTTTCTTAGCTTAGTATGTCGTTTCCAAATTACTGTTCCCTTTGATATTGGTTATAGTCACTTTTCCTTTGAAAACAAATGTAGCTCGTTTTATTAAAGTAGCACATGGGAATACGTCCTTACCAGCTTTTGGCATTCGGGTAATTTCTATACTAAACTACCCAGCCAAACATTGCAAACCTAGCACAGGAAGGAGAATCATGGAAGAGGAAAAGTAAAGTACATAAGCACAAAATTTAGGATGGTTCACCCTAAACTTGGCAATGCACATGTGGGTGAAGACTATGATAATCCAGTAAACCTAAAGAGTAAATAAAATTACAGTGAGAAACTGATAGGTCCATCCAATCAACCAAAGTAAGCTCTCTTATGCAGTCTCAGTTCTCAATGGAGAATACCAATTGCACCCGAAGCTCATAGGTTCTCTCTTAATTATGGCGATCATTCACTCTTAGAAAACTTCAACAATCCTATTTGTAGGAAGCGTTGCGAAGGAAGGTGCTGTCCAAGTAAATTGCTATCCTTATATTGAGTCGCGCTACATCAATCTCCACCTTGTTGAAAATTAAGCCTCTAGCCTTCACCACAAATCAAGCTCCTGGGATCAAACTCGCTTACCAAAACATGCTTTATGTAGCCACAACAAGTATGTAATCTAAGGTCTTAAAGAACTTGACAAAACCAATTGATGCCTTTGAACAGTTTGCCCAATTTCCTCATAAAAACCTCAGAACTAACCAATTGCCATATAAACTCTTACTTTTACCCGTCAGTGATTTTTATTCTCTTTTTGTTTTGTTAAATTTCAAATCTGTCTTTGCAGGGTCCTTTTTTTGTGCCTTTATAGTTGATCTGTTCTGTATTTCGAGCATTGCATCTTGCCTTCATCAAGATATTGCAAATAACTCTTAATGAGTGATGTCAGTTTTTGACAGTACATGATTTTATTTCTTTTTATTTTATATTTTAAACTTGGTTATTATGCAGCGGTAAAACCATCGAGCTCGACGATGTTACTTTCCATCAATGTGTAAACTTGACAAGGTTCAACTCAGAGAAGACGGTTAGTTTTGTGCCACCTGATGGTGAATTTGAATTAATGAAGTAAGCCCTTACTTCCTTTAATGTTGTCCTGTATGGTGTGAATTTAACTGTTTTCTTAGGGTTCTCAGACCTGCTCACTTCACGATAATGTTGTTTTTACGTTGTGCATTATGACAAATTAAATAGTCCCTTAAATGGATGTCACAACTTGAGGGAACTTGATTTTAATATGAGCTTGCCATATAACCTTGACTGTGATTGCGAGGAGTTTCAATTGTGCCGCTACTTTGTATCATCTGACGTTCTGGTTTATATCTTGTATGCTTTCATATGAAGGGGAGGTGGTTTGTGACTCATGCTTCCTAACTTCACTCAGTCATCTTTTGTTCTTTTGACAGAAGAATTTTATTGGGTGTTAAAGTTATAAACCAACAAAAGTCCTAAATAGCTTTTATAGGGTTGTACTCAATTTTTGGTACTCTTTACTAGTACGTTCTCTGCAGTTAGCAATCTTATACATGTGGAATGCATGCAAAACTACTAGTATTATTTACAGCCTGATATTACTGTTATAAATCTTAATGATAGGTAGAGTTTCTTTTAATGCCAGATAAATTGTTGTAGTTGCGTAGCAGTGTTGTATACATTTAATTGTATTCATAAGGCCTGCTTCTGTGATTGGTTATATGCGCAATAGGTACCGTATTACTGAGGGCGTGAACCTTCCCTTCCGAGTATTGCCTACAATTAAGGAACTTGGTAGAACTCGCATTGAAGTAAATGTTAAGGTTTGCCACTTTTCATGTTAAAGGTTGCTATTTTTGGATGTTTGTTGCTTGGAAAATAAATTATATGCGCTACTTCCTCTTCAGGTAAAGAGTGTATTTGGTGCAAAAATGTTTGCTCTTGGGGTTGTCATCAAAATTCCTGTGCCAAAACAAACAGCAAAGACAAATTTTCAAGTGACTTCGGGTCGAGCAAAATACAATGCTGCTATTGATTGTTTGGTTTGGAAGTGAGTGTTTGTATGTTTATTTATTGAGTTTTAATTCTATGGACTATTTAATTTGTTAAGATTTGCAATATTAATTTTCTGTTGAAAAAACTGCAATATTGTTTTAATTCAGTAGCACCTGATCGCTGGCTTAGGTGGTAAAAAGGTGGGATTAGATTTGGGGTTGGGGTAGGTACCATTCTAGGTTCAAAGTGTGCAAATCTGTCTGGCATATATGAAACTTATAGGAGCCTTTTTGACTGCCTGAAATGTGTGTGCATTATTTTCACTGTATTCAACTTTCTTGTGACTTTGTAGGATAAGAAAATTTCCAGGACAAACTGAGCCAACCTTGAGTGCAGAAGTTGAGCTGATTTCGACGATGACAGAAAAGAAATCTTGGACAAGACCACCAATTCAGATGGAGTTCCAGGTGCCTAACTAATCATTGCTGCTAACTCCAGTATTCTTATGACAATTGTTTCATCTATTTGTTAATCCCAGCAGCTCATCTCCACTTTAGTAGGTGGATACAAGTAGAGAAAAAATTAAAAAGTAAAAAGTAAATTTAGGTATTAGCCAAAAAAAAAAATTTCACTTTTGGAAAAAGCCAAAGTTTTTTCAAAAAAGACAGAAAAACCTCTCAACTTTCAAATAAAAGACATACAAATGTAAAGGATTCATTAGGAAATCCAAAAATAAATAAGGGCAATTTTGTCCATTTTGGCTTCTTTTACAAAATTTCTCTCTCCTTTGTGTTTTTCCAAAGTCTCCCAAAGTAAAAATGTGACCAAAACCCAAACAATCAGCAGCTAGGTTTATGCATTTCAAAACTAATGCTTTTTAGTTTTTAGGTTTTAATTTTTGCTCTACTTTATCTTCTGAAGCACATATGGAAATTATACATGCTGTTTTCTTCACCGTCTAAAATTTTGATCCCTATGTTACCCGATACTGTTCACATGTGTGAAAAGGTGCTTGCGTGTTCATGTTTTTTGCACAAGAAGTCTCTAGTATATTGCCTATTACCAATGGCAGACCTAGGATTACCTGATAGATGAACAGTTTCCCGATCTATCGTTTAAAATTTCTGTTTTCATGTATGTCTTTATGGCATTTGATATTGTTTCTTCTCCCCGTCCACCTCTTTAAAGAAGGTGATTCATTGAGTTATGGTGTATACAGGTTCCAATGTTCACAGCATCTGGTTTACGTGTTCGTTTTCTCAAGGTACTGGCTTTGCCCTGTCAACACTAGTATGCATTCTGTAAAAAATGTTGCATTTATTCATCGATTTTCTGCAGGTATGGGAAAAGAGTGGATACAACACTGTTGAGTGGGTCCGCTATATCACCAAAGCCGGTTCATACGAGATTAGGTGCTAGAGACACGGATTGCTGTTGTGAAGACTTGAGAGGATTTTAGGGTGGATGCTGGAATTTTAAACAATTGAGTTGAGTGGGAATTATTCAGGAGTTTGTTTTGACAAGCATAAATCATAGGGATTTTAATTGCTCATGTTATAATTTGTGTCAATATGATTGTTTGTGGTCTTGTATCCTGTTGTAAATGCTAGCTTACTCTAGAACTGGTAAATTGAGCCTTCAATTTTTTATTTTATTTTTCTACTTTCCTTTTTATGATCAATCATTTGTTGCGGTTTGGCACAACTTTTATTTGTTGAGATGAAGAGATTGTAAGTGGGATTTGTGATGGTTTGGATGAGTTAGTTATATTTGACATCAGACTACAAATAAATTATACTTGTACCCCTGATAATAAATTATAATTGTACCCAAAAAAATAAAACCCTAACCAAATCCAACCAAGGCCTTAAACATGAAATCCCATTATACAAACAAAATCAAAACCAAAATCCCAATGAATCACTAGCAACCCATAACAGCATAACACAAAAACCATAACGCCAATGTTCAACTCGAAATTAGAACGGGAATTCTTGCTGACAGTGCAAGACCCAAGTTGTTTAATTTGATTTCTGAACTTGCATTTCAATTTTCGAGCAAATAAATTCAGGATTTATTCCGGTAATTATACTCTCTTTCAACCTCTCGGCAGCTCGTTGATAAGAATGGTGGCTTGGGTTCGTCGGAATTCAAATCGAAGAGAGAGAGGGGGGAAGAGACAGAAAGGGATAGTGAGGGGGAAGAGACAAAAAGGGCAGAGGCAGAGAGAGTGAGAGAGAGAGAGAGAGAGGAGAGAAAAAGGTAGGATGCATGGAAGGGCGAAATGGCAAGAGAGAGAGCTCGTATGTTTTGCACAGAGGAGGGAGAGAGAGCTGGGACGAAATGGCAATATTGCCCATGCACTTACACATCACGTTGTTATTAACTGAATTGGACTTGATTTGCTGACGATTTAAAGACTGATAATCAAAATTAAAAAAATGAAAAGTTTGGTGGCCAAAATTAAAATCAACCTAACTCCTAATTAGACTTAATTTGCTGACGACTTAAAATTTGATGATCAAAATTAAAAAATTAAAAGTTCGATGACCAAAATTAAATTCAACCTTAACTCCTAACGACCAGAAATGTAATTACCCCTCCAATCGAACAAGAATTCTGAAAGGCGATTTCGAGTTTCAATTTTCTTCTTTAATCACATTTTTGAATTTTAAATTGATATTGAGAGTCGTGTGCACTGATGCACATGCAAAAAATAAATTTAAAAAAAAAAAAGAAAAAGAAAAAATTTATAATAACAGCGCACACACAACAGAATACTAATAGAGCGTCAGCAAACCATCAACCGGCACTCAACTGTACGGGATCTTCTCTCTCAGGGTTTCACACTTGTAGAATTCAATACCTGGTAACCCCATTTTGCAACCGTTGCCGGCTCCAATACGCCGTCGTTTGGAGTTGCGATTGTTCAGCAGATGGGGTTTTTTAGGAAGATGGCGGGGATGCTAGGGTTTACGAAGGACGACGGCCACGAAGTCAAAGACAACGGGGAAGAGGACGAAGACGATAACCAGGCCCAGAACCGAGCCAATTTCCAAGAAACTGGGCTTCCCCGTAAAGGCTTCAGCGTTCCGGTTCAAGTCGCCGTTGACCGGAATCTGCCCGGCCCCGTTCTCGTTCCTTGTCGTTCCGGCGACGGTGGTGTCCAGGTAAATCATCTCTCTCTCTCTCTCTCTCTCTCTCTCTCTCTCTCTATATATATATATATATATATATCTCAAAACCTTCATTTCAATTGATGAATTGAATTGTTGGATCAGCATTAGATTAATCTACAACGTTTGCCCAAAAGTTGAAGTATGCATTAGTAGGGTTTTGTTTATGAATAATTGGTAGAGTTCGATTGCTTGGTATCTATGAATTTAGCCTTAACTGTCATCCACTATGATTGCTTAGTAAAATGTGAGAAATATTGTAATGGAATGGGCACATGACTTGTAGGTGAGCTGAATTTGGAATATCAGTTATTGGATAGCAATTGAGGGACTTGAGTTTAGTGGGTGGTATTTCAAATTTGGGAACAAAAGTTTGGAGCTTGAAGATTCGATCATAGGATGAGTGAGTGGGCATCTAATCTTCATTTCCAGTTTGTTCATTGTAGGACTCAATTGAACCCATTTGGAATTATTTTCCGTATAATGTTAAGAGGTCATGCAACATGAAGACATTGAAAGTGAATAGCACGATATGGGGGAAGTTCCCATCAGGCAGCAATGGCTGCCTGACCCTACTTAAGCATGCATATTCCGTCAGTGAGGACTTGGTGCTTGGAGCTTACATTAGAAGAAGTCAGCTGAAGGGGACTGCATAAGTGTCTAAATGTGCGTAAGCCCAGTCGAACTTGACTGTTCTAAGCAGGGCTGGCCACCCTTTCCGAATGGCATTGGTCCCTAGGACTGTTTCTATTGTTTCCTCTTCGTTTGCCTTTGGAATGGTCAAGTGTTAAGTTATGCCACCATAGTTCTATTCTTCTTTCAGAAGCAGTCTGTGTTTGATAGAGGCATACAGGTGATGATTCTTGGAATGTGCAACCCCTCTCTAGACGGTCTTTTATCTTTCTTTTCTTGTTATAAGTCTAGAAATGTCCTTTACCTATTGGGTTGTTTGTACTTGGGACAATTTGTTTCTGCCTATAGCTTTCCTTTGAGGATCACAGTATCCCTTAGGCCTTCTCCAACCATGGGAGGCAAAACCCAAAATTTGGAAATTTTTAGCACAAAACCTTATCCAACCCATGTATTTGAAGGGGGGGAACTGAAATATGGGGTGGTATTTGGCCCCAGATTCCACTCCAGGTGGAATTTTTGTGGGGCCCAATTCGCAGCAAACAAGAGCCACGTGGGGCCTTATTCGGAGCAAATGATGGGCTGTTGCCCACTACCCCAAGTTGCTGGCCGCATGTCAAAGCCTAGGCAACTTAAAATTTGCACTTCAACAGCTGCATTTCAAATGGGCTGCTTTCAAATTTTTTTTTTCAAACCTAAAGGCTAGAAATCAGCGGCTGATATTAAAATTTGTCTCGATCAACGGGAAAAAAATAAAATAAAATAAAATCCAACAGCTGAAATTTAAATCCAAATTGGAGATGGCCTTAGTAGAAAGTGCATATTTAGCTGTCTAGTCAGCTTTCCTTTTCTCTTTGCAGAATTGCTTGTTTCTCATTAGGGTGGGAGATCTGAAGTCAGGTATCCATTTTGAAGTTGACTATCATAGACCAGCGACATAACCTTTAAAATTGTTGTATGAGGTATCAGTCTTCCCTGATTTGTATATTGAAATGTAGGGATTAGAATTTCTTCCCCTAGCCCGCTGTCCTTGGTTCTGTCGTGAGCATGGTTTCCTCAGCTTTTTGTAATGAATTCTCTTATCAAACAAACCGATGTTTTTTTATTGGTTAAATTTTATTGTTTTCTTATTCTTTAGACTTACTATGTTGAATGAGATGCCTGATGCTCAAATAGCCCTTCAGTCTTTATGTATAATCCCAGATTCACAGAGATCATATTCTGTTTTTTCTTCAAGAAAATGTACTTTGCAGGTGTTAGTGCCTTTTGGAATTGTTTTATGTGGGTGGTTGTTTGTGTCATAATTTTGTAGTTTGTTGGTTGCATGGTGTGTAGTTTATCCTGTGGTAATTTGAATCTTTAGTATTCCTTATGTTATTGATCTGGATGGGTCTGTTATGCTGTAGAGCAGGGAGATGAAAAGGTAATACAGAACCAGAAGTTAGGAGATAATCCAGTTGCCAAGTTGCTTTTGATATGAAGTGTCGTCTAACGACTGGTTGAGTGTTATGCCTTCCTGCCTTGTCCTGTTAATAGTATGTTGCTGGTTGGATTTTTGGTTTTCCATCTATTAAAGAATTAAAGAGAAGATAATGGTTTGCTGTTTTCCAAGTTCGAAAATGTTCTCCCTCTTTGAAACAATAACACTTTAGCGTTTTGTTGTTGTTGTTTTTGGTACGAGCACGTACTTTGGATCATATTTATCTCCATGGCTAGAGCAAAGCAGGTAAAATTTTTTGATCTCCTATTTGTTCTGCATCCAGGGTCTAAGATGGCGTGCAAAGCGACTCAGGATAGATGAGGATGGAGATGTAGCAGACGAGTTTCTTGATGAGGTTTTTCCACAGATGTCAGTTAGTACAGAAAATAATAAGGCATTGGCAAGGTTTGAAGTGAAATACAGTACCAAGCCAGCTAAAGTGAGGACTCAGGTCTTATCGCCGGACGGGAAAATCCAACAGCGTGTGGAATACCGGGGTAGATCACAGTGGATATGAAGACACCTAGAAGAATTTAGGTTTACGTCTTTGGGTTTTTGATATCCTTTTTGTGGTCAATTTAACTTTTTGAGTGTCATCCGATTTCTCTTGTGCGAATCAGAACTGTGGAACACTAGATCCCATTGTATTAATACTTAAGGTCTAGGGGTTGTCTAAATATCTGTTCCTTCAAGGATTTGAACTGTGCTTGTGGATTTACAGCTAGGAGTCGAATTTAAACAGTTTCATATAATTCAGTAATATACACAGTAGTGGAAACACTAATTCTATGTTTTCCTGCGTTTTCTGATCAGATTCGATATCTTGTTTGATTGCCTCCGCAGCTCATCATTCTCATTCTTTAAAAACATTCTTGTTTGACATTTTTCAACATGTTCCTTGTGATTTCCACCATTATGTGCGTGGGTGCGCTTCACCAGTGGTGGGTGCATTTTACCGGTTGAGTGGGTGCATTTTACGGGTGAGATCAACCGATCAACTGATCAACCGGTAAAAGCACCGCATCGGTAATGATACTTTTACTGTGCGGGAAGATTTCAGCTAGTGGGTAGTGAATATTCAGACATAAACCGAAGTGATTTTGTATTGTACGAGAGAGTATTATTCAACAAAATCAGTAGGGATGCATAAAACTATAGAAAGAAACCCTACCACTTGTTATAAAACAGCACTTTTTATTTCACTATACACGTGCATTTGTAGATGGAAATTAGTGTGTTCCAGCCATGGGATACTCAGCAGTTCCCAGATGCTGGTGGCCATGCATATGGCGAGTGCCAGCAGAAAGCGGTTGGTGGTGGTGGTGGCAGCCGCCGCCATGAACATGGGGTTGCCTGGAGCTCAATTTCTTCTCCGCATGCCTGGCTTTGGCTCTATGCAGCTCCATCTTTGCTCTAGCTTCCTTCACCTTCCTCCGCTCTTTGGCCATCTTTTTCTCCTCCTCCGTCCTTGCCGCTACTGCCTCTAACTGAAACAAATATAACCTCATCGCTCTTTGATCTCATCCTACAAACAAAAACACAGTTTTTAAAAGTAAACATGCATGCAAAGTGTACCTTTTCTTCTACTTTGGCTTTGTAAATATTTACGTGCTCCTTGGCTGAACTGGCCATGTTGCTCAACTTCTCCTTTGCGTACTGCATTTCTCTCTTGATTTGTCCTGCACAAAGAAACCACAAAAGCAATTTCCGTTGTTTGTTATGAAACTTAAAACTTTAACAAGCCAGCCAATTGAATCTTGATTTCCAAGAAGACAAGGACTGGTACGTAGGGAGTGAAAAGCTGAAGAAGAAGAAAAAAACAAAGGATTTGAGTTTGACGTGGATAAGAAGCTCAGAACTCTCCAACAAGGCAAATTAATTTTATGCATCGGAAAAACAAAAGAAAAGGACTGTCAAAGATCCTGGGATACGCTCAGATGACCGACACGTGGTGAGCATGCAGGTCCTTCCTTTCATATGCTGCCACGTTGGAAACAAAAGGTTTGGACCTTGCACATATATCCTCAGTAACTTTTTAAAGTACATATGGGCATCTTCAAATGGGCTCCCTTCTTTTTTTTTTTTTTTTTTTTTTTTAAAATTTATTTATTTTAATTTTTAATTATTATTATTTTTAAGAAAGGAGGATATATCATTAGATAATCAAATCAGTACAATTGGGACAACATGTATTAGGCGGCCTCGTTAAAACCTCTATAGAGAACACTTGATGGGACAAAATCCTAGAGGAGGAAAGAGTATCACACATGCCAGAGACTACAAAAGAGTCAAACATCACAACTAACAGAAGAGTCTTCATACAGTCAATCTCGTAACCAAAGTGGTGGATCAGTAAACCAAAAGAATAAAATCCTCTTGACAAAGACTGAAACGCACGAGACGATTTGCAACTCCATTAGTAGTGTGGGGAACAAAACAAATAGAGAGGGACGACGATGAAGCAAGGAGCCGTCAGGCGTCATCAACAAGAACTCATTCCGCTGTGTAGTAGGCCTCCTCTTTAAGGAGCAATTGGATAACACTCAAGGAACAATTGGATAACACTCAAGGAATCATACTCAACTAGGAGTGGAGAAAAGGAAGCATCCACCGCAAAGGATATTCCAATTTTTAGAGCATAAAATTTAGTAGCCAGTATCGATATCTGGCTAGGAGCACTCATTGCCACCACGCTGCAGAGACGACCATAGGAGTTCCTTATCACTGCTCTAACGCCATGCAAGCCATAATTCAAACTAAGTGCACCGTCAACATTGAGTTTAAAAGAACCCGAAGGAGGAGGTTGCCACCTTTTCTCGGGAACTAGCAAAGAAGACCTTCAATGATGAAGAAAGAAGTAGAATCTTTTGAAACTAGTCATCATAGTTCTTTGCACACCAAAAAAAAAAAAAAAAAAAAAAAATTGTTCAGGGGCAAAACAATAGGACCAAATAAGACAACATTATGAGCATTCCAGAGAGATCAAAGAACCAACGCAAATAGAGAATGTTGGGTACTAGGGAGAACATCCCAGGCCACTAATAGCCAGCTTAAGGCATCATGACCACGTAATGTAGTAAGAGAGGAGGACCAACCCAAATTTTCCCATACCAAAGAACTAGTTGTGTAGTCATGGAGAGTGTGGAGAGCAGTTTCAACGAACCCATGGCAGCGAAAACAAAGAGCATCTTCAGTAATTTTGTGTCGATAAAGTACATCTTGGGTAGGAAGAATATTCTGGGCCAAACGCCATAAGAAATGCTGAACTTTTAGAGGGACTTTTAATTTCCAAAGGTGCTTCCACAGTTTCTAAAAGGAAGAAGATAAAGACCCGGTGATAGCCAAAGAAGCTTCATGTTTTTGGAATTCCAAAGCAGTCTAATAACCCCTCTTTACCGTATAGCGATCGTTGCGAGTAAAATGCCAAATAAGGCAATCGCCATTGTCACACATCAATGAGATAGAGAGAATGAGTTCTGCTCAGGGAAAAGTAAATGGACGATAAATTTCAGAAACATTCCAGTGTCCGCTGGTAGTAATAAGATCACTAACTCTAGAATCTATAGAGAGGTGGGGGACAGATTGAACCGTAAAATTAATATGGTGAGGAACCCAAAGATCTCCATAAATTTTAACTAATCGTCCATCCCCAATGCACCAGCGGAGTCCACGAGAGAGTAGTTCCCGACACCATAAAATCGATTGCCAGGTGAAAGATGGTGTAGCACCAGCCTGAGCATGTAGAAAATCAGTGTTAGAGAAATAACAGGCCTTAAATCACATCGTTAGACAAAATTCAAAGAGGAATTGAACAAATATAAAATCATGCTCCTTATCCACCTATTAAAATAAGGAGAAATTTATGAGCTTTTAAATCTTAGGAGAGAAAAAAAGACTCCTAGTGACTCCCTATAATTAAATGATGCTTTACTTTAATAAATATTTTTAACATTTGTTTAATGAGTAAAGGGCTTGTAGCTCAAGTAGTTAAGAGCATTTACCACTGTACTTCTGATTCACCGCTCCCCCAATGTTTATAATTCCTAAACTGGGAGCTTTCTAGTGTTTTTGGCTAAATTTTAATTAAAAATAAGGAGCATGATTGTAGTGCAAAGTGTAGACACACGCCCTTCTTTGGCCAAACACATATATGTCTACAGTCAGTTTTATTTCATAGTACAAAATATATTACTATACCTTCCTTTACTAGCTAATTGGCTTCAACTTGGAGATAAAAGTACTAAATATTTCCATACTCAAGCTCTTATACGTAGGAAAAGAAACCAAATTTTGAGAATTAGGGATTCTGGTAGTGTTTGGGTGGAAGGAGATGACATTCCTCCTACCTTTATTCATACTTTTAAACATAGGTTCACTGTCGAGTCCACTCCCAATCAAAGTCTTGTTGTGGACTTTGTTAAAATTATTGAGTCTTGTGTCTCTCTGGAGGATAATACTAACCTCTTAGCTCCAGTCTCTGATGTGGAGCTTGATCTAGCTATTAGGGGCAATGGAGCTCTGAAAGCTCCTGGCCTAGATGGTTTACATGCTATCTTTTACCATAAATTCTGGGATAAAACCAATCAATTCATGAAGACTTTAGTTAATGATTTCTTGGTCGATAATGTCTCTCTGTAAGATGTGAACCATACTAATTTAGCTTTGATTCCTAAGGTTAATGTTGCTAAATCTGTTTATCAGTTTTGTCCTATTAGTTTATGCAATGTTTCTTACAAATAATTACAAAAATACTAATCAATAGGTTGAGACCTTTTCTCTCAAAAGCATTTCTAAGAATCAAGGACCCTTTGCTCCACATAGATCAATCTTTGACAATATTCTCATTGCTCATGAGTTTTTTCATGACTTTAAGAGGTTTAGGGAAGAGACGTGGTTGACAATATTCTCATTGTTCTTGGTTAAAGCTAAATGATTCGATAAATCACAAGAGACTTGGTTGATATTGTTTGTACCATATCTGACCCCTCACTTACGTCATGGCACGTGGAACATAAACAAGGTAGAAACCAGCTCAGTAGGCCATGCCGAAAAGTCTATCGGCATACTCCACCGATTCTTGCATGGTCGGCAAGTCGGAAAAGTGCTTACAACTGACCCTCACCAACCTTCGACACATGATACCAATCGACCAGTCGACACATTCGGTCGATTCTGACAGATAAACCTTGGAACTCCCGCCAGAACCTGTCAGGGCACGTGTCGACCGCTGAACACACTCCTACGAGTCTCACATAAAAACTAAGTACTAAGAGCATCACAAATGCTCTCTATAAATAGAGCCCCTTGGCCCAGCCAAGAGGTAAGACAATTTTACTTGACTTGGTTTTCATACTATCAAAAGAATTGCTCTTAGTCACTAACTTTGGCATCGAAGGGTCTTCGGCCGGCACCATACCGATGCCCCAGACCTCACCTACCTTTCTTTCTCCAGGTCGAATCCGGCTCCATGCCTTAAGGAAGGACGCCACGGATCGAAGGTTCCTCGGGTCCAAACTCCCCACTCCACCTGTATGTTAGCTCTACTTCTATCTATTTAGTTTTAGCGCGAAGAGATATAAACGACACTTCATATATATAATGGGAATAGGTTTTTCCATAGGTAAGTTCTCATCAATCAAAAAGACACGAGACAAAAAAGCTGGTTGAATTGTTTACTTATGGAGAAGCAAAATATGGCTGAAGCTGTTATTGCCTTTGTGTTTGGGGGTGGTGAGAAATCACCCAACCCGGGCTATATTCTGTTGCGGCTGGGCTGCCTCGAGATTTTGAGAATAGGGAGCCAAGTATTGAAATGCTGAGTTACGGCCGGGCCTTTGTGACCGGTGCCGAAGAATATGTGGCCGAAGTAATCTGGGCTAGGCAAGAAATCGGTCAGATGGAGCCCAAGGTTGGTGCGGTTGGATTTTGTATGGCTGGGAAATAGCGGCTAAAGAATGCGGACGGAGGATTACGACCGGGCTGTGTTCAAAATATAGCTGGGCAGTAGCTGGAGATTCGATGCTGCCGAATTTGGAGTTGGTGGAGTCATGGCTGGGTTTTGAATCGCAGGGCACGATAGAACGAACCTGGGCAGCCAGGTGCTGCCGGGCATTTCTGGAACTGCTGGGCTTTGTTTCAAATGTGGCTAGAGCGAGATTCAACCGGGATATGGTTGAAAGGCAAGGCCAGGCTGAAGCTGAAGATTCAGCCGGGGTGTGGCTGGAAGATTCGGCCGTGTTTGAGAACTGGGCATGGCCGGAGGAGCTAGGCTGTGAGATGCGGCTGAGCATGGTCGGAACTGCTAGGATTCTCGTCGCTGGAATTGCTGGAGAGCTTGGGAGATCTTGGTTGGTTTTTGAAGGAGTGCTGCGATTGGGTTTTTTGGGTTGGTTTTTCGGGCGGTAGAGATTGGGATCAGTTGGAGCTTTGGGGAGCTGGAGTCGAAGGTTTTTGAATTATTGCAGATTGGGCTAAAGGCTTTTAGGTTTAAAACCGACTATTTAAATATATATATCCTATATATATAGTTAAATAAATGCGAATATGCGGCTGAAACTTTGAGGTCTTGTGAATATGCGGCTGGGTCCTATTTTATGTTTATGTATTATGTGCAATAAAAATGGTTGGCCATTTAAGAGAGCTCAGAGGTTCAAGTCCAAGACACCAATTCAAGCCCAGGATTTTCGAAGGATTATTTGCACGTGACGGAGGCTTCACAAGGAAAGAAAACAAGAAGGTTGATAATAATTCCGAATGTTCCAAAGCAAGAAAGAATCAAGCAATATCTCCTTCAATATAATTCCACGGATTTAAGGGGGCCTCGGAAGGAAAGAAGCTTTAAAAGAGTTGACCTTTGGCTATTCAATGGC